GTGATGGTCCAGCTTTATGGAGCATGGACCTTGAGCAGAGTAACACAATACACTGTTCATATGTTTGCAGTGATGCTGCTATAAGCAGCCGACTACGATGCCAGCCATATAAAGTAGAATGAAACATTTGCCTGATAATACGGTATGACCTATCAAAAACATTCCTATATTAAATACATAATCAAGGACATCCTTTCAGAAACTATTCAACAAATGCACGTGCATGTGGCCGAATTTTATTTTTTAATTAAAAAAATTTTTTTCTAAAGACCTTTAAAGCTCATTAACTCTCCCACCATTTAATGTCCCATTTTCGTAACAGACTCTGAAACTCAGAGTGACTTTCTGGGGGCCCAGAGCAAATAGACATACATTGGTGCGGGTCATAAAATGTAGTTATATTAGGAAGTTTTTATGGAGAAGCACATTTGAATATATCAGACCTGCAGTGCAGAAGCACACTATATTTTTGTGGATGAACATTTTTTTTTCCCACTGGAGGGTGCAATTTGTCAGTGTATCAAGATTCCCACGGCTCCTTTAATGAGTGTACTTTATAAATAATGACAGAGAGATGATTATTTCAAAGACACTCGTGTAGGAGGTGAGCAGATTTCATGAAACTATGGAACTAAAATCACACTAATAGGTATCTGGGCTTTATACTACAATATAGTTATGATTTAATGAGGGACGAGCTGTTTATAAGCTGAACATAGTTTATTCTTTAATTCTCCTTTTTGGATACTATGTATGACTTTCTTGGTTATTAGTACTACATAAATGTATCCTAATAATTCGTAATGAAGAAAAATACAGTCCTACCTATAATATTATAAAGTTTCTGCATGTATTTAAAATTCTCTATAAAATATAGATCACTTTTCTATTATTAGCCTTTACTCACAGTAATATGTGTTCTAAAATTAAATGTAAATGTAATAAGCATAAAACTAATATATACATTTAACCAAACAAAGTTTTCTTTTGTTATATACCTCTCATACAGTATGAAGGCTTTAGATAACGTGTGCTGTAGATAGAAAACTAATACAATACGAGTTATAATTATCATAACAACCAACATTGACTGAACACCAACTAGGTGTCAGGTTGAGTTCTCTATTGATTATGTCCGTGTCTAACCACCTGATCCTCACAACGTCAACAGATGGGAATCATTTTCCTCATTTCACAGATGAGGAGACGAGATGTCAAATGACTTGCCCAAATTTGTACCGTTTATCCCAGGACTCACCTTGGGTGGCCCGACTCCACGGCCCGGACTTAGCCCCTGTTTCATAACTACCTTAAACTAGCTGCTGCCAGCCACGGCTTCTCATAGAGTCATGTCTTGGGTTTTGTTATAGGCACGTTTCATCATGGGTTAAAGTCTCAAGGATGTCCATCAACCATCGCGGTTTTTGCTTGGTCTAAGGAGATGGAATTCCCGTTGACCTGACTTAGATAAATGATCTTGCAGCACTGACTGTGGATTGCCTTCCCCAGCAGCCTTTCTTCCTTCCCTGCCAGGAACAGAGCACCAACATTCTGCAGGCACATTTTTTCCCCATGCAGAGATCTTTGTGGTTCTCGCTATGATGAGTGAATTTTTTATTGAAACCTGGCATTTTGCATGTTATGTTAAGAGACTCCGGGTCTTATTTAAAGCTCGTGCGGTGGCTGGCTTCCTCTGTCCCTGTTTCTGCATGGGAAAGGGTGGGTGCATTGTCTGCGGTCGGGTGGGTACAAGTCCCGATTCCTCGTGGACTCTCTGTTGACACCCGAGAAGGAAAGGGATGTCATCTTATTGCTTCCAGGTGGCCTCCACTGAACCCTGAGCGGGGACAGCGTTCTAGCTTTCCCACAGGGCTCCCACGACACCACTCCAAGGGAGGGGCCTCATAACGGCTGAGGGTGACGGAAATCCAGGCTCCCCACGGAGCCTCCATTGGCAATATGGGGAAGGGCCTTGTACCCCCTAGTGACAGTCCAAGGTCCCTGCTCAGCCTTCTCTGACAGGATCCCAGTGGGAGAGTTGGGGTGACTTGTTCCAGCCTGGTGGGTGAACGTCT